CTGGCTGCTGAGTTGAGCAGGGTGGGAGAAGGGGGCAAAGCCGGAAGGAGAGGTGAGTAGAAGGGGGAGGGTACAAAACTCTGAAGGGTACGATGGAGTGAGAGGTGGCTGAGGCCATGCCAGCTGGGGGTTTGGGTGTGCAGTGTAAAAGATAAGGGGAGTTGGCATGACTCATGGTGTCCGGGCTCAGCTGTGGATGGATGGAGTTGCTGAAAACCAGAGGGGAAACAGGACTGGGGATGGAACAGAAGAGTGAGAATTCCAYTTGGAAAGCTTGGGTTTGGTGGGTGGGAATGGCAGGTTGGCCCCAGGACATGTGTGTCTCGAGTTGAGAGATAAGGCTCAGGGAACTGTGAGGATCTTTCAGGCACTTCTGGGGCAATGCCACMATAAGGTCTTGGATTGATCTGGACACTGCAGCAGAAATGTGCAGGATGCAGAGTGGTCCTGCTGAAGGTCAGCCTRTGCTGCAGGACCCTCCTCTCCACTTCTAAGAGGCCTGGTTGTTCCCACCCAGGGTGTTATTACCGCTGCCACAGCAAGTGCTTGAGCCTCATCTCCAAGCCCTGCGTGAGCTCCAAAGTCAGCCATCAGGCTGAGTATGAGCTGAACATCTGCCCTGAGACAGGGCTGGACAGCCAGGATTACCGCTGCGCTGAGTGCCGGGTGCCCATCTCTTTGYGTGAGTGGTGGCAGGGAGAACAGGGTGTGGGAGCTGTTCCAGCAGGGGTAGTGGAAGGATTGAGTGAGGGTCTGGGGGTCAGTCCCTGCTCCCTGTCTTTGGGAAATGACTGACAATTGCATTTCTGACTAAAAGCCAGCTGAGGTTCTAGCTATTTCCTGACTTGCCCACATCTCTACCTCAGCTCTGTGGCCCCTTGTGACAGGAAGCCCACCCAGGCAGGGACCAGGAGAACCACAGGCTAGCCATACAGAGTGGGTGTTTTGAGACTCACCAGCATTCATTCATGGGTCCCACGAGCGGTCCTGGAGTGGGATCCTCCTGCCCTGTGTAAATGGTGATCAAACCGAGGGCATAAGCCCCTCAGCCTCGTGGCTTAGGGGTGGTAGGTCTGGTCTGGAGGGTGGGATCACTGACCCTGCTTTCTGTTTTCCGTGGGCTGTGGGCTGCCAGTGACCTTGACTGGCTGATCCCCACAGGGGGCGTGCCCAGCGAGGCCCATCAGTGCAACTACACAGGCCAGTACTACTGCAGCCACTGCCACTGGAATGACCTGGCCGTCATCCCGGCACGAGTGGTGCACAACTGGGACTTTGAGCCCCGCAAGGTGGGGGTTGGGGACAGGGAAGAGGGCCTGGGGAGGGAGAGCCAAATGGCAGGCAAGCGGTGGGTGTGTCCCATGGCCAGCAGGCACGTGTGGGCGGGATTTGGCTCCCTGGGCTGGCGTGGTCACCCCACCACCCTGCAGGTGTCTCGCTGCAGCCTGCGCTACCTGGCGCTGATGGTGTCCCGGCCAGTGCTCCGACTCCGGGAGATCAACCCTCTGCTCTTCAACTACGTGGAGGAGCTGGTGGAGATCCGGGTGAGGCTAGGGGCGGGCAGGATGCTGTATCTGATGGATTCAGTTTTCTAGCCGTGGAGGGCCACAAAATGTGTGTGCAGAGGAGAGGTACTGCTTAGGTTCAACTGGCCTGCTTGGCTGCCCTGCAGATTGACAGTGCTGACACTGTCCTGGAGCAATCTGATGCAGGCACGGAGGCGATTTTTTAATTTCTAGTAGTCTTATTAAAAAAGTAAAAAGAAACAGGTGAAGATGTTTACTAATATATTTTATGTAACCCAGTGTATCCAAAAGGTGATTTAAATGTGCAATCAATATGTAAAATTATTGATCTATTGTACCCTTTGTGTGTGCCACATCTGAGAATGCCAGTGTGTGCTGCACACTTAGTACAGACCAGCTATGTTCACCTGCTCTGCGCCGCCAGGGAGAGCTGGGACTGAGGGCAGACTGAGGCTCTGTCCAGGTAGGAGGTGCCACGTTGCCTCAGGCAAGGTGGGGGAMAGGGTTAGTTCCCATGTCACCTGGGAGAGGACCAATAGAGCAGGTTGAGTCGCTGATGAGAGATGTGGGATCCAACTGGAACCTCAGTTCCGTGCTGGATGTGGACCAGTATTGCCCTGACGGGTGCATTGCAGGCCTGGGGAGCTGGGATTCGCAGAGTGGCTGGGGGATTCTGTGGGCAACAGTAAATGAACCTCAAGATCYTGACGTGAGTGTGGCTGGAACTCTCGGATCTGGGACCATCCTGGGGAAACTGAGGGTACCTCCCCATTCCCTGCTCATCTTGTTGCCACGCAGACTGTAAACYGAGGCCACCTAGTGGACATGACCCCATCAAACCAGCACAGGGCCAGTCCCTTTGCCTTGCTGACGAGGTCATGGTGAGGGGCCATGACCACCTTTCTGGATCTGTGTGCCCCTAACKGTGTCCTATATGCCTCCCCTCTGCCCTAGCTGAGGAGTTAACCTGCTCCCTTGTCCACAGAAGCTGCGCCAGGACATTCTGCTCATGAAGCCATACTTCATCACTTGCAAGGAGGCCATGGAAGCTCGTCTGCTACTGCAGGTCAGACTCTCAGAGGGACTGGCCCCAAAGAGCCAGGGTGATGGAATCA